CCCGAGTGCTTTCTCGGGGAGAGCGCACAGCTGCAGATCATGCATCAAATGGGGGGGGCAGTGAGACACTTCAAAAAGTACAAAAATAAGGGCAGGCGAGAGGAGATGGCCAGAGTCCCATCGCGCCCTGGGCCGGATGCCTTGGGGGCTCGGCTTCTGCGTGTCCTGAGTCTTCAGGCAATGTCTAAGCCCCCTTTGCCGTAACGTGGTTTGTGGTCATCCTGGCCAGGGTCATCTCTGGCACGGTTGTGCAAATGGCGAAGGGGGACAGGGAAAGCGCTGGGTCCGTGGTTCGGATCCGGGGCTGGCGAGCGCCCCACTCTATTCCTGGCTCTCTTCCAAGCGCCACTTCAGAGACTCTTCTTTGAGGGCGTCGGGCTTGATCTGGTTGCGCATCCCGCCGAGGAGGTTGGAGGTGGCTTCGGAAGCCACAATCAGCGGCTTGACGACCGTGGGAGGGATCTGCCGCAGGACGCCGCCAACGGCCCCCGTGATGCCCTTCTGCTCGTGCCCACGGGCTGCCACGTCGCAGATAGCCTGGGCAGTGTCTATGACGCCCTGGGGACAGACAGGGAGACAAGCGTTGGGGGGAGAGCAACGGGAGGGAAGGGCCCTTCTGGACGGCCTCCAGGATCATTAAGAGTGGGTCCTGACCTTGCCGGGAGGCTAGAAGTGGGGAATACGCAGCGGGGGGAAAATGGAGCCTGTGTACGTCAGTGATGGCGAACCTTTTGGCTCGGCATGTCAACAATTCAGAAAATGCCTCATCCAACTCTGCTGGTGTGTCAACCTCCCCCCCCCGAACAAAAGAGAAGCCATTCTTTCTGCATTCATTTATTTTAAAAAAAACACAGTCCAATCGTGCGTGGAGCTGTGTGTTATAGAAAGAAATGTCAAATAATTATAAAAAGGAAATATGAGTGAAACAAACTCATATTTCTCTCTTTGGTAACTCAGGCAGGGAGAACTGTGGTTGTCGGGTGCTGGGGAATGCCGACGTGTCACCCAAAACGTTGACGCGTGTCACCTTTGACACACGTGTCACAGATTCGCCATCGCTGATCTATATCCACAGCAGGGGTCTAACCAAATTCAGGCAGGAACGGGTTCCCTGATAGATATCTAACTTGGAGCCAGCCGCCCAGAGTTGCTGTGAGTTGGGCACATCACAAGCTTAATAAATTATTATTATGAATGACACAGCAAAGCAAGCTGAGACCTTCAGAATGTGGTTTTTGAAGACAGAGTGTTTAAAAATTAAAAAAAAAATCCAAAGAGAAACGCGCCGTAATTGCAGAGGTCCAAAGCACAGTATACAATATTTAAGTAGAAATTAGGGGGGGGGAAGGGGGGAAAAAGAGAAGG